CGCAGTGGAGTTTTCACAGAGGGAAGTATGTCAAGGTAGACGGCGTCTCTCTTTTATGAGATGTCACATGACTATTGTTTCATGCAGTTATTCATTTACAATCATTCCTAATGGCAGAGCTCGCTGCCATCATCCGTTTCTGTTTCCATTATAAATCCAATTTTGGAGGGTAATGGTGTCTGTCATTTCATCTTCCTCAGCGCTTCAAATTTTTCTCTTTAAATTTTCTCTTTTTAAATTTTTCTCTAAAAAAAAAAAGGAAGCAGTTTGTGTGTCTGTTTTAAGAAGCTGAGGGCCTGGGCATTTGGGGGATGGTTTAGCAACAGGAATGTAGGCAGGAACAAAGATACCCAGTAGGTTCCAATTCCTAGGTCAACTTTGATCAGTTGGTAGTAGACGACTGGAGTGTTATGCTGAGAAGAATTCTGAGACCATGTCCAGCATCAATGGGAAAGAGCAGTGATTGACTAGTGATGTCTGTCTCACATCTGCATGTGGGAGGAGCAGCTGGGAGGGAGCCCTGCAAATATCCTCTTATAAACTAGAGTAAGCTTATGTTCTCTCCTAACAGGAGCCCCTTACCTCTCTCTGTGCAGCATTTGATAGTTTCAAAAGCACGTTTCATGTGCTTTATTTTCATTTCACCATTACATCAACTTCGTGAGCTCAGAAGGGCTGCTCTGTCTTCATATCACTTAATTCATCCATTAAATGGGTACTGAGCGATTATGGTACTGGACTGCGGTAGATCCTCTCTGAAGGACCACCACCTATCTCTTCCCTTCCTGCTCATGCCAGCTGCCCCTCACCAAAATGTGGAAATGAATTCCCTGCCCTCGCGTCTGGGCTGTGCCGAGTGACTTGCCTGTCTCACAGGAGGCAGCTGAAATAATGTTCTGGGACCTCCAGTGACAGGTCTTAAGAAGCCTTCCAGTGTCAGCCTGTGGCTTCTTGAAACATTTGCTTTCAGAGCCCTGATTGCTACATCAGAAGTGTGACTGTCCTCTGGAGAGGCCCTGAGGCCGCAGAGAGGGGCCCCGCTGAGCCCAGAGGTCCAGCTGTCCCACTAAGACACCAGATATGTGGGAAGCCATCCTGGACCCTCCAGGCAAATAGAAGCCACTGCCTTTGGGGGCTGTGCCCATCTCCAGGTGAGAGAGGTACAGAACTCGGCGGGCCCTTTGAGGGAAGGGGGTTTCAGAAGAGGCTTGTGAGGAAGCAGGGCTCCCAAGCTGCCCAGAAGGGGACGTGTCCTTACAGTCACAATAGTGAGTGCTGGGGTCAGGGCTGAGTGGTACTGCTGATCTCCTTGCAAATTATAGGCCGTGGCTCTGGATCCAGAATTCCCGGTTTCAAACCCAGTAGCCCTGGACCAAGAGGCCACTTTTGAGATGTTAGTATCCAAGAGCAAATTCCTTTGGGAAACTCCACGGGTAGCTTGACCCTCAAAAAAAAAAAAAAAAGGACTCATTAGGAGCTTGGGGAGCTGTTAATTGCCCTGTCCAGCTAAGATGCAGTGCTGCCTGATGAAACATAATGAAATCACTAGAAGTTCCAGCTCCCTCCCTGTCTGCCCAGGTTCTCTCTCTCTTCCCCTCTGCCTCCCAGGCACTGTGGCCCCTGCTGCCCTGCCCAGAGACCCTCCTGGTGTTCAGAGACCTGTCCTTGGGCGGTCACACTCTCGGAAGAACACACAGAACGCAGTTGTTTCGCTGAATTGTAAAGGTATTCATCTGAAAGTTATGTTTACAAAGGTATAAAGATTAATTCACACAAAGCTGCGACTCATCTTTCCTTAGAAAAGTATGAAAAGCTCAAGAAAATCATCTGGTAAAGCTGTGACTTGCGGTTGCCATGGGAACACCCACCTCCTCTCTATCCTGGCCCCACACTGGAGTTGAAGGGCTGGAGGACAGAGAGGAGGTGGGGGTGGGGAATGGGAGACCTGTGTTCTAGTCCAGCTTCAATACTAACCAACTTCTGAAGTATTAAACTGTAAATCTCAAAAGACCTTTGTAAACAAACAAACACCTTTGTAGCAGGCACATTCCTTCTCCACACACTGCCTTTAAAGGGCCTAAGAGACCCAGCATGTGAAACCAGGAGGTACTGGGGGCATGCTCCCTAGTGTAGACTCCTTGAGGAAGGCGGATGGGGCAGAGGCCTTCTCTCTGCTCTTGGCCACCAGGGGGCAGCACCTAACTATGCTCAGGGAACTGGCTCTCTCTTGGGACTAGGAATCTGGAGAGTGATCTCAGAGGTGGGCTCCGGTCCAGGCTATTCCGGGTGGCAGCAGCGGCGTTGCCAATGCAATGGCCACGGTGGGAGTGTCCAGTGCTGCTAACAGTGGCGCAAACACAACTGTGCTCTCACCGGTAACCTCCATGGTCCTGCCTTTTTTCTCCACTTCTGGTTCAACTTTGTGAGCAACGCATTACCTTCACCTACAGCTTTCATCAGCTTCTCAAATGGGTCTATGCGTAGTAAAGTGGCAAGAGTCACTGTTATGTCATCTCTCTGCCTCTAAGGGCAGAGTTAGCCAGGACTCTGGGTTGCGGGTGACAGAAACCCAACGTGAGCTGCCTGGGACAATGGGAACCTAATGACTCACATGCTGGCGGAGCTCAAAGCCCTGAAGGAATCGCAGCAGCTCTGAGGGTCCTGGGGACCAGGGTCAGGGCACAGTGCGATCAGGACCCTCTCTCGCATTTCTGCTTGCCTCCGCTTGGCGCGTTCTGTTCAGCAAATTAGCTTTTCTTCCCATCCCACAGGGGGTGGCACCTGGCAGCCCTCAATTCCGCCCCACCTCCAACTCCGCATGAAAACCCTGAGGAAGGGTTTGAGCACACAACTCCCTTGGCCCTGTGTTGGGTCTTACACTTGCCATGGGGCAACCACAGGGCCAAGGGAGCTGTGTGCCGGGATCCAGTAGGCTAGGCTGGTGTCCGCCCTTGTGTATTGTGGGGCGGAGCACAGTGATGGCGGTATTGCCAGGTGCCCATGGGGGCAGAGGAGGGGCAGTTCTCTGAAGGTGTGTGTGTGTGTGTGTGTGTGTGTATGCTGGACAGTGAACATTTTACAGGCTGCCCCTGGAGGGGGTGCCGTGTGGCTTCCTCTGGGCCACTTCCATGGGCTCTGTTGTTTGTCTCCTTGTTTACATGCTTGTTTTCCGTCTCTCCCCGCTCCCGCCAAATAAGCTCCAAGCGAGGACATTGCTAGACACATAAGTGCTCAATAAAAGTATTTGTTGGATGGACAGACGGATGGATGGACTGGAGTGCTAAGGAAAAGAGTTTCTCCAGCCCCGGAATAGATATTTTGAATTGTTATTACATCTTGCCAATTCCACTCCAGTGGCCATTTACTACCTACTGAGTAGACCCAGTGTGTGAAGGTAGAAGGACAAGGACAGGGCTACACACAGTTAGAGAAGGTCCCTGGTAAAGGCTCCCCCTGCCTCCCCTCCCACAGTTACCTTCCTGCTACAGATGCCTGGGCTGCTCTAATTGACCTTGAATGAGGTGGTGTTTACTGCTGCAGCTTAGCAGCCATTGATCTGGAATTGATTTAGCCAGGGCTTTGAAAAGGAGAACTACAGGAACAGGGACAAAGAGCCCCATGCACTGAGGACTTCACACCATCCCTTCACCCCCTTTGCACCACACATTTACTGTGTGTGTACTTTTAAACAAATAAACAAACAATTAATGAATTACTGTAGAGAGAACAGAGGGACGTGGTCCAACTTTCTCCCAGCGGGAGGGCAGCTCGGCTGCCCAGGACCCTGAAGGGCATTCCCTGTCCTCATTAGTTTTAATGGAGGGTCTGTCCATTCCCGTTCCCCGGGGGAGAGCGGGCAGCTGATCTGGGCTTGGTGGGTTGGGGCTTTGTCAGCGATTGTAAACTCTTTGGATCTGCTTTTTCTGTGGCAGTTCCAGCCCTTGGCAGGGCCCCCGGAAAGAGCGGAAAACTTGGGTTCTCATCTCGGCTCTGCCTGGCTAAGCTTGACTGTGCAAGTGACCTCGCTTTGGCGGCCTCAGATCACTCATCTGTAAAATGAGGGGGTTGGACAAGAACAGCAGTTTCCAAACCCTTTTAGTTCTCCCCCCCGCCCCCCGGAATCTGTTCTTTAAACCAAAACTAATTGGGCCACTCACCCCTCATCTCGCGCCCAGTATGTGAAAACAACATTATAAAGGAAGATGGGGGAGAGGCAGCATGGTGCCGTGCTCCCCATCCCTGATCTCCAGTCTGAGAAGGGGGTTCCAGGGAGCCCCTCAATCGTCTGCAGGACACAGCTCATAAACCACTTCAGGCCCCCATCCAGCTCTAGTTGGAGTTGGTCCTCATCGGAAGGCCTCATGCTTTAGCAGCTAGTAATTGGAACTGGACATAAAGGGCCCGAGCCCTTAATGATTAGGAGGTTTTTTCTCCATTCACTTGGTAACAAGGAGTCCATGGCAGGCCCTCCAGGGCTGAGAGCTGGCATGGCAGCGCCACGGCACCGTCTGGGAGAAGAGGCCCAGCTCCTTTTATCTTTCAGTTGCATCATTTTGAGCACATGGCTGCCATCTTCAAGGTTGCCTCAAGGTCAAAATATGGCTGCTGAAGCTCCAGACATCACACTCACATTCTAAACAAGAAAAAGGAGGCAGAGGAAAAAGGCAGGCAGGCACATGCCAATTCATATGCTCCCTTCAAACAGCTCTCCAGGGGCATGACTGGGGATCCCAGGTGATGGCTCCTTGGCAAGAACCGTGTCATGTGACTACTTCTGGCTACAAGCGAAGCCGGAAAATGTTATCATCATTATTTTTAAAACCAGGGTTCTGCTAATAATGACAACAGGAGGGTACTGGGTAGGCCACAAGAAAAACCCAGCACAACAGCTAATACCTACGGATCACTTACAAGATGCAGGCGCCATGCTGAGAATTTCATGTGCATCATCTCATTGAATTCTCCTAACTGCCCACTCATTCTCCATTTCCGTTTTGTAGCTGAAGATGTTGAGGCTCAGAGAAGTTCAGTGACTGGGCCAAGACCCCACAGCAAATAAGTGATGCAGCCAAGGTATTAACCCAGGCCCTCGATGCTGCCGTCCACACCCTCGCCCATTGTGGTGAGGACCATGAAGTAAATTACATCCGGGACTTTTCGCTTCCATTCCAGCATATTTTAAAGATGGGGACACAAAGTGCGCTACCCAGAGTGCCAGGCCCGGCCTTTTCTGCTCCTCCGCAGGCTCCGTAGGTCTTCCTCCTGGTACCGGAGGCGGCGGTGACAGACTGAATTGGCCCTGACGCCTTTCCCAGGAGGTAGGTATTTTAGATACGGTGTGGAGGAGGTTCAGGGGAAGCAGTCTCAGAACTTGACTTGCAGGAATGATTTATGAAGACAGATGAAAAGAGCTGACTGGATGTGGGCTGGCACGGTATGAAAAGTGAGACAGGGAGGGAGGAAGTGGGCGCAGAAGTGAAATGTGCGGACGGCCCTGAGTGTTCCAGAAACGTCGGGCAGGGCAGCAGGGGTGAGAGGCTAGCGGTCCGGACTCAGACCCAGCTGAAGAAGGCAGGCTAGCCCTTGGCTCTATCAACCAGATGTGTATTCCCCGCTCGCCCTGCCGTCGGCTCTGCGACGGGAGGTGGCGTGGCTCCTGCCTTCATGGCACTGAGGAGCCAAGAGGCAACATTTCCCTTTTCATATTTTATCGTCACAGCAATAGTGTCCCATTTTGCACACGAGAAGCCTAAGGCAGAGCTGGCTCCTGTGGCTTCAGGTCCCGGTGATATCCCACACTGGCAGCCAGTGCAGATCCAGGGATGGGGATGGCATCAAAAGTGGTATTTTCACTCCTGGCCAGCGTGGCTCAGTGGTTGAGCATTGACCTATGAACCAGGAGGCCACGGTTCAATTCCTGGTCAGGGCACATGCCCAGATTGCAGGCTCGATCCCCAGTGGGGGTTGTGCTGGGGGCAATGATTCTCTCTAATCATTGATGTTTCTCTTCCTCTCCCTTCCTCTCTGAAATCAATTATATATATATTTTAAGTGGCATGTTCACTCAGGTCAGAGGTTGGCACACAATAGAACACAGTAAATGCCATCTCTCTGTATCTCACGTAGCTTATAACTAAATCCATGGACATAGCTCCTTACTAGGATTTCTCATAAGGGAAGTTCAACTTCCGATTTAATACTTCGGGAATGATACTTACCAAAGAGGACGTGGGAACAGACTCCTCAAAAACGAAGCAGGCCTGCAAACTAAATTCTCATGAGCCAACACAGAACGAGACAGCTGCTAATGGGATTTTATTTTATAATTGAATTCATTTTTGTTGTAAGGGGGGCATTCTGGGGTATCGGTAACATCTTATATCTTGACCCACTTGTGAAAATTCATTGAGCTTTTTTACTTGTGTGCTTTTTATTGAAGTAATACTAAAGAAAGTTTCTTTTTAAAAACAAGTGGCATCTTCCACAATTTGAGGCCCCAAGTTGGCATTTGGTTAAGACTGTGATATGGCAGCGACCACTAGGTGTCTCCCAATCTCACACTCCCTTTCCCTTTTGGAAGGAGACTTTGTTCTTTTTTGCAGTTTTTGTTTGTTTGTTTGTTTAATTATTTTAAATTTGATTGGGGTGACATTAGTCAACATGAACATATAGGTTACATGTGTGGATTACTGATTTACAAAATCTGTATATAGGACCATGTGCCCACCACCCAAAGTCAAATCTCCTGTCACCTCATATTAGAACCTCTTTCTTCTCCCACCCCCTCCCTCTGGCAACCACTACACTGCTGTTTGCGTACATAAGTTTCAGTTTTATATTCCACATATGAGTTAAATCATATAGTTCTTAGCTTTCTCTGTTCGACTTACTGCACTTCGCATAATGTTCTCAAGGTCCATCCTTTCTTATGGCCGTGCAGTACTCCATTGTGTATATATACCACATCTTCTTCATCCAGTCCTCTGTCGTAGGCACTTTGGCTGTTTCCAACTCTTGGCCACCATGAATAATGCTGCAATGAGCATAAATGATTTGGAGTTTTTCAGGTGTATACCCAGGAGTGGGATTGTTGGGTCGTATGGTAGCTCTACTTTTAATTTTTTGAGGAATCACCAGACTGCTTTCCACAGTGGTTGTACCAGTCTACATTCTCACCCGCAGTGAATGAGGGTTCCCTTTTTTCCACAACCTCTCCAACACTTGTTGCTTGTCTTGTTGATAATGGCCACTCTATCTGGTGTAAGGTGGTATCTCATTGAAGTTTTAAGTAGACTTCTGATTTTTAACTGGGCACAGGGCCAGCTGGAATAAAAACTACATCTTCCAGCTCCTCTTGCAACTGGGTGTGGCCTAGTGACTAAGTTCCGGCCTTTGGGATGTGAGGAACTGTAGCGAGTAGCTTTCAAACACTTACTTGAGGCAGGTAACTCACCCTCTTTCCTTCTCTTCTCTCTGGATTGAGAGTAGATAAGACAGCTGGAGCTTGGCAATTGTCTGAGCCCAGGAGGTAGAAACCACACTGTGTAGACAGTGGCTCACGGGGCAACTGGTCCTGGAGTATCATGGAGCTCCACCACAGCTCTGAACTGTTTTCCAACAGACCTCTCTCTTTAAAAAATAAATAAATAAATAAATAAATATCTACACTAATAAAAGATAAACATGGTAACTGGCGTACGACCACTACCCTTTTCATTGGCTAATCAGCAAGGTATGCAAATTAACTGTCAGCCAAGATGGCGGCCGGCAGACAGGCAGCTTGAAACTAACATGAGGCTTGCTTGCTTCAGTGATGGAGGACTCCAACGTTCCTA